ACCACTTGAGCCACAGGCCACTTCCAGCTTTTTGTGCTTATGTGGTACTGAAGAATTAAACCCAGGGCCTCATGCATGCAAGGCAAGCACTCTACCACTGAGCCACCTTCCCAGCCCCAAGATCTGGGATTTGTGATTTGAAACCAATCCAAGAAGAAGCCTATGAAACTCTTATCTCCAATTAACCAGCAAAAAGCCATTAGTGGGGGCTGGGAAGATGGCTCAGTGGTAGAGCGCTTGCCTTGCATGCCTGAGGCCCTGGGTTCGATTCCTCAGCACCACATAAGCAAAATGAAAAAAGCCGGAAGTGGTGCTGTGGCTCAAGTGCTAGAGCTCTAGCCTTGAGCTGAAGAGCTGAGGGACAGCGCCTAGGCCCAGAGTTTCAGGCCCCACACCTGGACCCCCCCCCCCCCAAAAAAAAGCCATTAGTGGAGCTATGTCTCAAGTAGTAGTGTGAGCATAAAGCTAAGGCATAATACCTAGGCTCTGAATTCAAGCCCTAGTATCAACAAGAGAAGAGAAGAGAAGAGAAGAGAGAAGGAAGGAAGGAAGGAAGGAAACAAAGAAAGAAGAGAGAGAGCAAGAAAGTGTCTGGCATGGTGGTCTACACCTATAATCCCAGCATGGAGGTGAAGGCAAAAGTATGAGTTTGAAACAACATGACATGATCTTATCTGAAAATAAATAAATAACTGGGTACTGGTGGCTGATGCCTGTAATCCTAGCTACTCAGGAAGCTGAGATCTAAGCTTTCAGTTTGAAGCAGCCTGGGCTGGAAAGACTCTGAGACTCGTATCTCCAATTTACCACCAAAAAGCCAGAAGTGGAGCTTTAACTCAAGTGGTAGAAAACTAGCCTTGAGCAAGAAAGTTAAGGGAGAGTACCCAGGTCCTGACTTCAAGCCCCAGGACCAACACATGAAAAAGAAATAATTAATTAATACTGTAACCTATGTGGTAATACCTGGTAATATGTAATCAACAGTTTTATTTTGTTTTGAGAAAAAGTCTTGCTAGGTAGCCTAGGCTGTCCTGGAACTTGAGATCCTGCCACCTGAATCTCCCAATCATTGGGATTATAGTTGTATACCACCATACCCAGCTGCGCAAGAATATGTCAAACACTCTATGACAGGCAGCAAAGCTCCATGCCTGGCCCTGTGGATCCTTGTCAAGCACTATAATGGGAAGGTTGATGAATAAGCACACTCTCTGGTCAGTAGGTCCACCAAGTTCTCCAAAGGGAAGAAAGAAGCCAGGTCTCAACCCATACCTCCTTTTTTTATTTTTATTTTTTAGTGTGGGTAGTGGTGTAGGTGCTCAGGGTCGGGGCAATGTCCTTGAGCTTTCAAAAAAGCTCAAGGTTTGCACTCTTACCACTTGAACTATAATTTCATTCTCAGCTTTTTGCTGGTTAATTGGAGACAAGAGTTTCTGGATTTTATTGCCCAGGTGAACTGCAACCCTCAAATCTCAGCCTCCTCAGTAACTAGTGTTACAGGCGTGAGCCCCTAGACCCAACTCAGAATAGTTGATTTTATATGAATTATAATTATTACACATTTATTTACAATTCAAACACTAAGGCTTTAGGACATCCCTTGAGGTACATTACTAGCAGTAGCAGCAGCTCTCGCAGACAACAAATCCATGACAGAAGCTAAATGCAACCCTTGTTCTATTTAAGCAAGATGTCCTTGAATGCAACTGAAACTCACAATGAAGATTAGAGACAAGTCCATACTGATTATGCATGGTGTCTTCCTGAGGAAATAAGAATTTCCAATGTGAAAATAAATCAGATGAGCCTGGTGTCAGGCTTATAACGTAAGCAACCCTAGCTTCTCAAGCTTAGGGTTTGAAGGCAGCCTGAGCTGGCTTCACGAGACTCTATCTCCAAAATAGCTAGAGAAAAGCAGGGCTGGAGGTGAGGCTCAAATGGTAGAGCAGCAAGCAAGCAGTCAAGCTGAGTAAGCAGAAGGGCCTAGTGCCACCAAAAACCCCCACAACATCTCAAAACCACCACAACAAAAACAAATGGAAAAAAAAGGGTTAGCAAGAATAGGATCTTTGAGCTCAACCTGGTGGTATAAGCCTGTAGTTCCAGCACTCAGGAGGCTGAAGCAGGAAGATGGAGAATTCTAGCTAGTGTGGGCTACATAGTTAGGTCCTATTTCAACAAACAAACTAATAGGACCTTTATGAATAATGAAAAGGAGAATGGAAGCAATATAAATAAAGACGGTCTAAGTGGTAATTGGCTATTCTTAAGTTTTGCTAAACTTGTCACAAGAGGAAATGGACCAAGTGGTCTGATGGGATATAGGTTGCATGTGACTGATGGCTTCCATTCTCAACTGGATTCTCAACCATTAGGGCTGGATTCAATGGCTCATACCTAAAATCCCAGCTACTTGGGCAGTAGAGATCAGGATTATCATGGTTTGAGAGTAGCCCAGACAAAAAGTGAGAACCTATCTTAATCAAAAAGCTAGGACATAATGGTTCCTATCTGTGATCCCAGCTACAGGGAGGCCATAGGTAGCAGTTATTTTCCATTGGCCAATATACAGAGAATAGAAATGTCTAAGTCAGAAGGGACATTATATGATTAACAGAAAGAAGCTTTTGGTGTGACATGGGTCAAGATGCATTGTACTCATAAATTTGTTGAATCTTTTGTACAGCTACTTAAAGATAATAAAAATATAGTTGGGCGCTGGTGGCTCACGCCTGTAACCCTAACTACTCAGGAGGCTGAGATCTGAGGATCATGGTTCAAAGCCAGCCCGGGCAGGAAAGTTCGTGAGACTCTTTTTTTTTTTTTTTGCCAGTCATGGTGCCTGAACTCTAGGCCTCAGCACTGTCCCTCAGCTCTTCAACTCAAGGCTAGCGCTCTACAACTTGAGCCATAACACCACTTCTAGCTTTTTCTGCTTATGTGGTGCTGAGGAATCGAACCCAGGGCCTCATGCATGCAAGGCAAGCACTCTACCACTGAGCCACTTTCCCAGCTCGTGAGACTCTTATCTCCGATAAACCACTAGAAAATGGAAGTGGCACTGTGGCTCAAGTGGTAGAGCACTCACCTTGAGCTGAAGAGCTGAGGGACAGCGCCCAGGCCCAGAGTACAAGCCTCACATGACCGACAAAAACAAACATATATATATATATATATATATACATATAATATGTATAAAATAAGTTAAAAAAGATGTACTGAGGGCTGGGAAGGTGGCTTAGTAGAGTGCTAGCCTTGAGCAACAGAAGCTCAGGGACAGTGCCTAAGCCCTGAGTTCAAGCCCCAGGACTGACAAAAAAAAAAAAAAAGATGCACTGGACACACAAATGGACATATGAGCCGGGCGCTTGTGGCTCACGCCTGTAATCCTAGCTACTCAGGAGGCTGAGATCTGAGGATCTCGGTTCAAAGCCAGCCCGGACAGGAGAGACCGTGAGACTCCTATCTCCAATAAACCACCAGAAAACCGGAAGTGGCTTGTAGCTCAAGTGGTAGAGCGCTCGCCTTGAGCTGAAGAGCTGAGGGACAGCGCCCAGGCCCAGAGTTCAAGCCCCATGACCGACAAAAAAAAAAAACAAACAAATGGACATATGAAATTGTAATCCCCTTGTACAACTATTTGAAGATTAAAAAATATAAAAATAAAATTGGGTGCCAGCTACTCAGGAGGCTGAGATCTGAGGATCACGGGTCAAAGCTAACCCAGGCAGGAAAGACTGTGAGACTCTTATCTCCAATAAACCACCAGAAAACCAGAAGTGGCGCTGTAGCTCAAGGGTAGAGCACTAGCCTTGAGCCTGAAGAGCTCAGGGATAGCACCTAGGCCCTAGAGTTCAAGCCCCATGACAGAAAGAAAGAAAGAAAGAAAGGAAGGAAGGAAGGAAGGAAGGAAGGAAGGAAGGAAGGAAGGAAGGAAGGAAGGAAGGAAGGAAGGGAGGGAAAAATAAAATATTAAATTTTTTAAAAAGAAGAAAGAAGCTTTTGAAAGTAGAATTGACCTACAAGACTCTGACCATTTCAGAATTAAGTTTTTCTACTTTTGTGTATGATTTGTTTTTGTACTACCAGATATAGGCAAATAATATAGCACTCAAGCCACACCCAAAGCCCTTAACCTCTGAGAGATTAACCTGTGAACTGTGGGGCTAGAATGTTCACTGGAGAATGCTCAGCAGAATATCTGTTTCCACAGACCAGGTGTCATTAGCATTTTTCCCATCTTCCACCCACCTACTCACCAATGAATGGTAACAACCAGTTTCAAGTGGGTTCCCAGTGTTCTCTGGGGCAAAATGACTCCAGTTGGAACTACTGCCCTACAAGATCTCTAAGACAGATGGGCTGCTAGACTGGGAGGGAAGAGGGGAGATCCAACTCAGTAGGATATTCTAGGGCTCCCGCAGCTGCAAGACTTTGGAAGTCTAAGTTCAAGTTGTCTCTTCCCTGGCTGCCAAGAGCTCTTACAATGATTAGATACTCCAAACCTCTATATGGTTATGGAAATATTGGGAGATGTAATTCTTTAAAGAGAAGGTAATTGGCCAGGTGTTGATGGCTCATGCCTGTAACCCTAACTACTCGGGAGACTGAGATCTGAGGATTGTGGTTGAAAGCCAGTCCAGGTAGACAAATCTGAAAGACTTATCTCCAATTAAGCACCACAAAGCTAGAAGTGGAGCTGTGGTTAAAGTGATAGTGTGTCAGTCTTGAGCAATAGAGCTAAGGGACATTGTCCAGGTCCTGAGTTCAAGCCCCAGGCCTTAAGTTAAAGAAAGAGAGAGGGGGAAGAGGGGGGAAGGGAAAGAGAAAGAGAAGATAATTGTTCTACCTAGAAAAACCTAAAAGCTGATCTGATACAGAGGCACTGTTTATACCTAGGGCTACATTGTAGCCCTATACATTGTAGCCCACCTTCACTCTTCACTTCTCTTTCCAGACAGAAAAGAAGGAAGAAAAAGATTGTAATGGAGCTTACTTACAGAAAGTACCAGATCCCGCTTGCGCCTGGAGTTCTTCTGGCCACTCCCTCTGATCCTGCACGGAGAAGCAGTAAACCCTAGCGAGTGTCTCAGCTCCCCGGTGCTCCCAGGGCCTGACTCTTCCAAGGAACTGTCCAATGCAACGGCGGCACTGAGCATGTCTTCTGGGCGAGGTGGTGGAAGCTTGGTTCCATTTTCTGGCCCTGTTTCTGAGGATGCCCGCTGGATAGCCAGTTGTGTGGCTGGTGAGAGCTGTTTGGCATAGGCAGGGACCAGTACTCGTTGTATTGCACCCTCAGAAGCCACATAGTCATCTACCAGCTAAGAATATAAAAAAGAAGTCTATTAGCCAGCTGATTCTATTCAACCATTATTCTTGGGTCAAGAATAGAGGATAATGTGGAAAAAAGGAAGGAATCTAGCAGTCGTCAATGGTCAGTGGCTTGTTACGCTGAGTCTCCTATACAAGTATGGGCCAGCTATTTCTGGTGTGCACAGGACCAATGGTGTTGCCACAGGGCTGTCTGCAAAAATGAGATACATTTCTGATGTTCTATTTGTGAGTCATTTATAGTTTGCTCTAAGTATAAGAAATATAGCTAGGTAAGTGTTTTGTCTAAAAGGGATTAGAGAGGAAGTGATGACAAGAAAAGGAAACCAAGCAAGAAAAAGAACAAGAAAATTAAATGTAACAGTAAGGAAGGGAATGTAGTTCAGGGGTAGAGTACCTGCCTAGCAAGTTAAGGCCCTGAGTTCAAACTCCAGTACTGCCAAAAAAATAAAAGTAATCATGAGAGAAAATAAGAGAAAAATAAAAGCAAAGTAGGGAAATACAGAGTCAAACCCTAGAGAGCATGGCTCAGACAGCTTTCCTCTACTCCTCTCTATTCCCTCTGAGGGGCTGCTAGTCTGTGGCCTTACCCTGATCCTGGCCTAGCCATAGCTGTTGTGGCCCTGACATCCAGCTGATTACCCTGTCACTCAAGGACACACAGGGCAAGGAAAGGAAGGACGGAGCAAAGCAGAGAGAGAGGGAAGGAGAGGGATCTCTGCAGCCAAGAAAACAAAACAGTGAAGGGGGGAACCACACACGCACACACAGAACAAAGCGGGGGAGGAAGATGAGATTTATAGACCTGTGAGCAGCTATTCTGCACTGTGAAATCTAATTCCATCTTGTGGGTTTGGAAGCCTTCCCTGACTGAAAGAACCCACGGCTCAGGGCACTGACTGACCTGGTCCTCTCCTGCCTTTGACCCTCCAGTTCCTCCTCCCTCAGGCCCAAACCACTAAAAGTCCTGGCCAGGCCCAGGCAGGTGAGCAGGTGAGCTGCAGTGACCATTACTGCAGCACAGCTGTGTTTTGGAGAGAGCAATGACCAACCAGTTGCTGTAGTAAGGTAGCATCTATGGAAAAGAAGAATTTTTCTTTCAGATCCAGCAGATGGGCTGGGAGTTTCTCCCCCTCTCATCCACCCTGTGTGTTCTGGTCTTTACTCTTTATTGGGTGTCAAAGCCTTGTTGAGGGGGGAAGAGGAAGAGAGAGGACAGAAGGAGAGAGGGAAAGACTTGACAGACCTCCTGCTGGCTCTCGAGTGGTGACACATCTGTTATTTTCCCTTCTCTATGATCTCTCTAGTTGCTCCATCTCTTTTTCGTGCTTCATGTGTGGCATTCTGCAGTTCTTGCTCTACTCAGCCAGGATTTTCCTGTTCATCTGGCCCTTGAGCAGTAAAGGAGCTGAAATAGCACAAATCTAAGTCTATGTCTTTTTCTGCTTAGAAGATGCTATCATCTCCTGTTTTGCTTTCCTTCCTCCAATTTGATTTCCTTTCCTCTCCTACCTGCCCCTTATCTCATAATTCCCCCTCCCCCTGCACATGTAAATTCACCTTTCTTCTATTCTCTTCCCCCCTCCCCCCTGAACCTCCACTACTCTCCCCTCCGCATTCCCATCTCTCCACACTGAACTCCTCTTGGCAAGCAGAGGCCCATGATAAAATATGAATGAGCCGTCTGTGCACGGCAGGCATTCTCACCAGGAAAAGAAGAGTCCATGGAGCAGCTAAGACAGCTGTGGAGAAGAAGAGGCCATGTGGAGCTATTGAGAGGGAGGGAAGGGCACCCCATAACCTCATGCACTTAAAATACAGCCTCCTGCCAAGGCTGATGGTGCAGGAAGCAAGCAGCAGAGCAGACTCTCCCTGAAAAGGGACAAAGCTCGGCGACCTGTTTATCCCCAGTCCCAACAAAAAGACACTTTTTTTGGGGGGGGAGGGGGATGCTTGTGCTGATGTTTAATTCAGGGCCTTGTACCCTTGCTTGGCTTTTTCACTCAAGGCCTAGCACTTAACCACCTGAACCACAGTTCCACTTCTAGCTTCTTGCTGGTTAATTGGAGATGAAACTCACTGCCTTTGCTGCCTTAGCTTGGCTGCAAACTGTGATCCTCAGATCTCAGCCTCCTGAGTAGCGACAGGCTGAGTACCTAACAGGCTGTGTATCACCAGCACTCAGCAAAATGGAGGCTTTAAAGCTGGAAACGATATTAGAGACTGACAAAGAGCAAGAGAGACCAGAGAAGTATTAAGGGGCTACTGTGGGGCAGCCATACTCACAGGATTGAGTAGTGGGGCTCCTTCACCCGTGGTCAGGGTGCATCCTGGGAGTCTCACATCTTTGTGAGAGGCTGGGAAGCCCAAGGGCCCAGGCCCCACAGTTGACGCTGCCCCGAGCTGTCGCAGCTCCTCAATCACCACCTGCACACCGCTGCCCACACTGTCACACTCCTCCTCCACCGCAGACAGAGTCTTGCAGACTTCCCCTGGGCTCTCCTTGACAGGCCCAGGCTCCTCGGGTTGGGGACTGTGGGCCTGGCTCTCTCCATCCTCATCAGTGGTGCCCACTTTTCCTTGCCGTAGCTCACCTACTTCCTCCTGGAGCCGTTTCAACAACTCATTGTTGGCTCGGGCAAGACCCAGAGCAGCCTCAGCCAGACCCACGGCCTTATCCACGCGCTGGTAGATGATGTGCAGGAGCTGCTCATTGCTCTGAACCGCCAGACCATGTCCTGTGACTGTGATGGGGGTGCTGGCATGGGGATTCCCGCCCTGGGAGCCTGTGCTGCTCCCCCCAGTCTCGCTTTTACAAGCACAGCAGCAACACCTGGCCTCACTGCCACCAGGAGGGGAGAAGAGAATGGTGGCACTGAAAGACATGGCTGATGGACACCAAGTGTCACTAGAGGACTGCTCCGACGACAGGTGTTCGGGTCAGGGAGACTTCACCAGGTTGAGTCACTAGCTCTGGGTTCCCATGGCTTTCTCAGACAAAGTGAGCAGATGAGCTGGGGCTCTAGGCCAGGGATTCTGTGAAGTAGAAGAGCCAGTGAAGGAGAACACAGTCCATGGATGGCCTCTCCTCCACCTGACAGAGCAAAGCACCCAGGGGCCTCTCTGATGCAGTTCCTGAGGGCAGAAGGAATCTTTCTGCACCCAAGCCGTGGAACCCCCTCACCACTGCAACCCAAGGATCTGAGGGCACTCAAAAGGTGCACCAGCTTCAGCTAAGATTAGATTAAGGAAGAAAATGAAGGTCTGTCTCCCCTCTCCTCTTCTCTCTTCTTCCTATCTTTACTGTAATACCACGATTGCATTTTATTGCTTTGACATCATCCTCTAAGGAGTTCAAAACATTTCACCTGGGTTATCTCATCTACACAATGGCACTGGGAAACATAATACCCACCTGCCCCAGCCCCCAATCCAGAGTGATACAGAGAAGTTAGATGGCTTTTTCAAGGTCAGAGGCAGACATTAGAATCCAGTTTTTGCTATTTCAGTTGAATTTTTTTTTTTTTTTTTTTTTTTTTTTGCTAGTCGTGGGGCTTGAACTCTGGGCTGGGCGCTGTCCCTGAGCTCTTCAGCTCAAGGCTAGCGCTGTACCACCTGAGCCACAGCACCACTTCTGGCTTTTTCTGCTTATGTGGTGTTGAGGAATTGAACCCAGGGCCTCATGCATGTGAAGCAAGCACTCTACTATTGAGCCACCTTCCCAGAACCTGAATGTATTTTTTAACCGACACCATGTTTGGGGGACATAAACAATCATTCTGCCATCTCTCTATATAATTGTCATCGATTCATTCAGAGTAAGACTCCTCAATCAGGACTACATGGATCACTGAGGCCCTCAATGTGCTTCACACCTCTCTTTAGTACATCATGAACTCTGGGGGCGAGACTAGGGAAAGGAATTGAAAGGCTGGGTCAGGGAATTGGGGTGAGGCGGCTGTTCTCTAACTGTAGATGTGGATCTCCAGCTGTCTTGAATCCACAGGTCTGTAACCCATGAAAATCACTTCAGGACTCCTCTGATTTCTATTTCATTAGGCCCTTAAGAGCTAAAGTTCAACAGGAATGTCTGTGCTGATACTCTGCCCACATGACCAGTCTCTGTTAAAGAAGGCACCAAAATATCTGTGCTAAGCCAAGCACCATTAGTTCAGGCCTATAGTCCTAGCTACTCAGAAGACTAGATCAGAAGACTGAGGTTCAAAGCCAGCCCAGGCAGGAATGTCTGTGAGACTCTTATCTCCAATAAACCACCAGAAAGTCAGAAGTGGCGCTGTGGCTCAAGTGGTAGAGCGCTAGCCTTGAGCTGAAGAGCTGAGGAACAGCGCCCAGGCCTAGAGTTCAAGCCCCACAACTGGAAAAAAAAAAAAGCTAAAGGAGTTTAGGTGCTGGTGGCTCATACCTGTAATCCCAGCTACTCAGGAAGTTGAGATCTAAGGATTGTGGTCTGAAGTGTGAGATGTTTGTCTCCAAATTAACCCCAAAAAGAGTAGAAGTGGAGCTGTGGCTCAAGTGGAAGAGCATTAGCCTTGGGCAAAAAGGCTCAGGGAGGGGCTGGGAAGTTGGCTCAGTGGTAGAGCGCTTGCCTTGCATGCCTGAGGCCCTGGGTTCGATCCTCAGCACCACATAAGAAAAAAGCCGGAAGTGGCGCTGTGGCTCAAGTGGTAGAGCGCTAGCCTTGAGCTGAAGAGCTGAGGGACAGCGCCCAGGCCCAGAGTTCAGGCCCCACAACCGGACCCCAAAAAAAAAAAAAAAAAAGGCTCAGGGAGGGGCTGGGAAGTTGGCTCAGTGGTAGAGCACTCGCCTTGCATGCTTAAGGCCCTGGGTTCGATTCCTCAGCACCACATAAGCAGAAAAAAAAAAGCCAGAAGTGGTGCTGTGGCTCAAGTGGTAGAGTGCTAGCTTTGAGCTGAAGAGCTGAGGGACAGTACCCAGGCCAAGAGTTCAGGCCCCATGACCGGACCCCCCCTCAAAAAAAAAAAAGGCTAAGACAGTGCATAGGCCCTTTCTTCAAGCCCCAGGACTGGCGCGCGCACACACACACACACACACACACACACACACACACACACACACACACACACACACACACACACACACACACACACACACACACCTTCCTACCTACCTAAGGGACAGTACCCAGGTCCTAACTTCAAGCCTCTCTACTGTCCTGATAGATGTAGTTCTTGCACACACACATACAGTGTGTGGGAACTAAACCAAACTGCCTTTTTCAATTATTGTAGTTAAGCAACTAAACTAAAGGAGAAAAAAGACTGATAGTGAAGGTCTGATTTGTACAAGTGAGAACACTCAAAGACACAATAAATATTGTCATTTTCTAAATGACACTTGATTATAGAAAAAAAGAATTCTTCTGCCTGAAGCTGTGACAAAACCTTAAGTGTGTTTACAACTGAAAGATAAATTTCTATCTTACTCAGTAAATTATATCATAAAATCACAATTAAAAGGAAAAGAGGTTAGGAGAATTTTATATATTGAGGTTTGGGTCTTTTGCTTTTTTTTTTTTTTTTGAATCAGCAATCTCATTTTAGAAACTGGCACTATCAATGCCTCCCAGGTACAAAACATAAATCTGACAATGCATTTTAATTACATTTGGTTATTAAACAATAGTCTTTAATTTGCTCTTTCTACCCTTTATATGGAAGAAATTACTTTTCTATGCCAGATACTCACTTCTTGCAAGAACTTAACTCAAATCCATTTGCAGCTTTGCTGTCACTACAGTTACTGGAAGGCATAGCTAAACGTGATGCTAAAGGTTAAACCAAATTAAAACTAAAGGTTAAAGGAAAGCACTAAGCGAGTCTATGTCAATTTGCAGATGAATTATGGATGTAATGTATTCTTTCCCTTCCTAAATAAGGGCCTACCTTGCCCTTATTTATTTGAGATTTATTTGAGTGTTTAAAAAACTAACATTATGCAAAGAGCTTAGTTTAAAACTTACATGAATACTGAGGAAAAAGAAGCCATGGCTGCTTTTTCTTTGTGAGGTTTTTTGTTTTTTGTTTTGGTTTTTGGTTATAAGGCTTGAACTCAGGGCCTGGGTACTGTCCCTGAGCTTTTGCACTCAAAGCTAGCGCTTTACCACTTTGAATCACTTCCATTTTTCTAGTTGGTTACCTGGAGATAAAAGTCTCACGGACTTTCCTACCTGGGCTGGCTTTGAACCACGATCCTCAGATCTCCTGAGTAGCTAGAATTACAGGCAGGAGTCACCAGTGCCTGCCTCTGCAATTTCCATTTTTTTGTGTGCTGGTACTGGGGCTTGAACTCAGGGCCTGGGTGGCACTGTCCCTTAATTTTTTTATTCAAAGCTGGAGCTCTCCAATGGGTCACAAATACACTTCTGCTTTTGGCTGATTAATTGGAGATAAGAGCCTCATGTACTTTTCTGCCCAGGCTGGCTTTGAACTGTGATCTTTAGATCTCAGCCTCCTGAGTAGCTAGGATTACAGGCAGGAGCCACTGGCACCCTGTGACTAAGAAAGATCTCTTAAAGAAGCCAAGCTTTAATCCTTGAACACTGAAAAGGGTCAACTGGGAAGGTGGTAAGACAGTAGAGAAAAAGACATTCCTGGACTTATTGAGGAACGGGTGAGAAGTCAGATCAAAGGGGCTTCTAGTCAGGTGAGAAGGGTTGCCAGAAAGCTTGGAAACCAAGTTAAGAAGACCCCAAAATCTCTCTCTCTCTCTCTCACTCGCTCGCTCCTGCTCTCTCTGTTGTTGTTGCAGTGCTGCAGTTTGAACTTAGTCCTCCTACTTGCAGGCACCTGACTCTGAGCCAGTCCAGCCCTCAAAAATCTTCCATGAGGGCTGGGAAGGTGGCTCAGTGGTAGAGCGCTTGCCTTGCATGCCTGAGGCCCTGGGTTCGATCCTCAGCACCACATAAGCAAAATGAAAAAAGCCGGAAGTGGCGCTGTGGCTCAAGTGGTAGAGCGCTAGCCTTGAGCTGAAGAGCTGAGGGACAGTGCCCAGGCCCAGAGTTCAGGCCCCTCAACCAGACCCAAAAAAAAAAAAAAAAAAAAAAAATCTTCCATGAGTGCAGGGAAACCCAAAACTTTCTGAAAAGGACCAAACACTAGATAATTTAGGACCTGTAGACTACATGGATTCTATCATCATTAATGAACTGTGCTATTGTAGCACAAGAGCATCTATGAATAAGTAAACAAATGAACTTAGCTGTTTCAATAAAAAAAAACTTTATGGACACTGAAATGTCACAAAATATAAATGTAAGAGTTATTCTTAGATGGTCATCCATCCAAAAACAGGTGGCAAAGGGGAGGGGAGAATGACAGAGGAGGTGAGGGTAATAGGTGTATTGTAATCATGTATAAAAATATCACAAGGAGCTGAGCACTGGTGGCTCATGCCTGTAATCCTAGCTACTCAGGAGGCTGAGATCTGAGGATCGCTGTTCAAAGCCAGCCTGGGCAAGAAAGTCCATGAGACTCTTATCTCCAATAAGCCACCAGAAAACTGGAAGTGGCGCTGTGGCTCAAGCGGTAGAGTGCTCGCCTTGAGCTGAAGAGCTGAAGGACAGAGCCCAGGCCCAGAGTTCAAGCCCCACAACCAACCCCCCCCCCAAAAAATCACAAGTATACCTCCCTTGTATAATTAATGTATGCTAATAAAAAATGACTAAACCAGGCACTAGTGGCTCATGCCTATAATCCTAGCTACTTAGGAGGCTGAGATCTGAGGATCTCTGTTCAAAGCCAGCTCAGGCAGGAAAGTCTGTGATACTCTTATGTCCAATTATTCACCAGATAACTGGAAGTAGTGCTATGGCTCAAAGTGGTAAAGTGCTATCATTGAGCACTAGAATTCAGGGATAATGTCCAAGCCCTGAGTTCAAGCCCCATAATCAGAAAAAAAAAAGACTAAGAAAAAAGCTTAAACAACAGATGGTGGCAGGCTAAATTAGCCTATGGGCAGTAGTTTATCAATCCTTGCCTTTGCTACCTGAAATAAAA